CTTTTTTTTTTTTTTTCATTTTCCCTTTTTTACACATTTTTCGGGTTTTTTCCCATTTTTCTCAATTTCCTCTCATTTTTTCCCTTTCCCAGGGCTCCTCCAACTCCTATGCCATCAAGAAGAAAGACGAGCTGGAGCGCGTGGCCAAATCCAACCGCTGAAATTCCCACAAAAATCCCCAAAAATTCAAATAAAATCCAAGGGTTTGGAAGCCCGAACATCCAGAAGGCTCCGCAGGCTGAATTTGGGGGAGAATTTTGGGAACATTTGGGGGGAATTTTGGGGGATATTTGGGGAATATTTTATAATTCTGGGGGGGAAAATTGGGAATATTTTGGGATTGTTTGGAATATTTTGGGATTTTGGGAAATTGGGAGTATAATTTTGAATTTTTAAGGGATTTGGGGAATATTTTGGGATTTTTGGGGAATATTTTGGGACTATTACGGAGTTTTGAAGAAATGTTTGGGGATGTTGAGGGATTTTATGAGAGTTTTTTTAATTTTAAGGAGAATTTTTTTGGGAAGGATTTGGGGGTTTTAGGAAATATTTGAGAATTCTGAAGGATTTTTAGAAGATTTTTTTATTTCTGAAGGAGGTTTGGGGGTTTTTTTAAGGAGATTTTTTTAAAGATTTCCATGGGATTTTTCAGGAATTCTGGGCATTTTCCACCCCTCCCCCATTCCCACCCCAGCCCCTCCCACCCCCCAAAATTCCCAAAAAAAAACCACTCGGAGCCGTGGGGAGCAGCAGGATCCCGATTTTTCTGCAGGAATTTTTGGAAATTCTGGAGCCCAGACGCCAAACTGAGAATTCCCAGAAAATTCTGGGAATTCCTGGCCCCAAATCCCAATTTTTTTCCTCTGAATTCCGGGAATTTTTCTCGCCTGGAGGGGGTTGGAGGATTTTTTGGGAATTCTGGGGTGATTTTTGGGATAAATTTCGGGAATTCTGGGGGGGAAATTGGGAATTTTGGGGGGAAATTTGGAGTTCTGGAGGATTTTTGGGATACATTGGGTATTCTGGGGGAAATTGGGGGATTTTGGAGGAAAATTCTGAATTTTGGGGGGAGGAATTTGGAATTCTGGGGGATTTTGGGGATAAAGGTGAATTCTTGAGGGAAATGGGGAATTTTTTTACAAAATTTATGAATTCTTGAGGGTTTTGGGGATCAATATGGGAAAGTTCAGAATTCTTGGAGAAAATTTGGGAATTCTAAGAGATTTTTTGGGATAAATGTTGGGGATTCTGGAGGAAAATTGGGAATTCTGGGGGGAAGTTGGGAATTCTAGGGAAAAAATTGGAAATTCTGGAGGATTTTTGGGATAAATTTTGGGAATTCTAGGGGAAATTTGGGAATTCTGGGGCATTTCTGGGGTAACCAAAGGACAAATGGGAATTCTGGAGGATTTCTGGGAATTTTTATCCCAGATTTATCTCGGAATTCTGTACAGTGCGTTTCTAACCCGATGGATTTCCCGGTGGGTTTGGGCGGGAATTCTGGGAATTTTTCCATGGGAATTCCAGGAATTTTTCTGTGGGAATTCTGGGATTTTCTTCGTGAATTCCAGGATTTTTTCCTGGGTGAATTACAGGACTTTTCTGCTAGAATTCCAGGATCTTTTGGCAGGAATTCCAGGAATTTTCTGGTGGGAATTTCATTATTTTCTCTGTGAATTCTGGGAATTTTTTTTTTTGTGTGTGTGAATTCCAGGAATTCTTCAGCAGAAATCCCATTATTTTCCTCAGGATTTCCAGGAGTTTTTCTGGATTAATTCCATGATTTTCTCTAATGAATTCATGAATTCTAGGACTTTTCTGTGTGAATTCCAGGAATTTTCCTGCCTGAATTCTCGTATTTTCCCACCAAAATTCTGGGATTTTTGCGCTTGGAATTCCAGCAACTTTCCCACCTGAATTCTGGGATTTTTCTGCTTGAATTCCAGGAACTTCTTGGTGGGAATGGTTTTCCCATAGGAATTCCGGGATATTCCGGAATGCCGGGAATTGCGCCGTCACTTGTAGAGCAGGTGCACGCGGCTGCCGTCGCAATTCCCGCGGCCGAGCTTCTCCGCCTGCTCCGAGACCAGGCAGCGAACCAGGCTGGGCTGGGGGAAGCCCTGGGAATTCTGGGAATGTTGGGAATGCTGGGAATGCTGGGGGGGCTGGGAATTCTGGGGGAAGCCCTGGGAATTCTGGGAGTCGCGGGAGTGGCGGCGCCGGGAGCGCAGCTGGAGCTGCTGCCGGGCCTGGAGCTGCTGGCGGAGCTCGGAGACGCGCTCTTCCTTCTGGGGGGAAAAAGGGGGAAAATGGGAAAAAGTGGCGGCGGGGAGTGGAGAATCGTGGGGGAAATTCATGGGGGTGAGGGGGGAGAAATGGGGAAAATTAGGAGGAAAAAGTGGGGGAAACGGGACAAAATCATGAGAAAAAGGGGGGAAAATGGAAAATTATAGGGAAAAAATTATAGGGAATAAAGGGGTGGGGAAATGTGGGAAATTACGGGGGGAAAGGGGGGAAAATGGAAAATTATAGGGAAAAAATTATAGGGAATAAAGGGGTGGGGAAATGTGGGAAATTATGGGGGAAAGGGGGGAAAATGGAAAATTATAGGGAAAAAATTATAGGGAATAAAGGGGTGGGGAAATGTGGGAAATTATGGGGGAAAAGGGGGAAAAATAGGAAAAAATTGGGGGTAATGATGAGGGAAAAAAGGAATAAAGGATGAGGAATATATGAAAGAAACAACAGGAAAAGGGGGGAAACAATGGGAAAAGGATAAACACCAGGAAAAGGAGGGGGAAAAGGGAAAAAACACTGGGGAAAACAACAGGAAAAAGGGAAAAACAACTAGAAAAAAAGGAAAAACACAAGGAAGGGGGAAAAATACCAGGAAAAGAAGGAAAGACTGCAGGAAAAAGGATGAAAAACAACCCGAAAATCTCCAGGAAAAGGGGAAAAACAATGGGAAAAGGGTGCAAAAAAACAGAAAAATTCCAGGAAAAGGGGAAAACCAATGGGAAAAGGGTGCAAAAAAACAGAAAAATTCCAGGAAAAGGGGAAAACCAATGGGAAAAGGGTGCAAAAAACCAGAAAAATTCCAGGAAAAGGGGAAAACCAATGGGAAAAGGGTGCAAAAAAACAGAAAAATTCCAGGAAAAGGGGAAAACCAATGGGAAAAGAGTGAAAAAATCCAGAAAAATTCCAGGAAAAGGGGAAAACCAATGGGAAAAGAGTGAAAAAATCCAGAAAAATTCCAGGAAAAGGGGAAAACCAATGGGAAAAGGGTGAAAAACAAGGCAAAAATCTTCAGGAAGAGGGGTTTGGTCCCGGAATTGTCGGCGAGCCGCCCACCTCAGCGATGATCTTCTCCAGCTCGCGGTTCTCCTTCTCCAGCAGCCGAGATTTCTCCTCCTCGTTGTTGTTGGTGGACGATCCCGTCTTCATCGTGTCCTGCTGCTCCGCCTGCCACTCGCCGCGCGTGATCAGCCGCCGCATCTGCCCCGAATTATTCCCAAAAAATTCCCAAAAAATTCCCAGCGACCCCAAAACATCCCAGGAGCTCCCCCC